CATAATTTACGATTACGACTGTCAGCCACTGTGTTGCAACTATTGAATACTTTATGGACCTCAGCAACGAAAACATTTATCTTTATCACGAGGAAAATCTAACATTACACCAGATAATATTGTCTTTATAGTTTACGTATGTAGATTTGAATATGTGATTCCGAACGTAATATTAAGGTTAGAAATATACATGCCGATAAAAATCGTTCTATTATCTTATAAACTATTGTATAGGTATCTATCTATCTATCAATGAATTTTCCAAAAAAGTTAGTGTGGCAGTAAAATACATGATAATTCAGGAAATAGAAGATATTAATTTTTCGTTTCCCGATTTGTTACAGCGTCTACGATTGCCTCCAAAGCAGAGCTAATCTTACTGATGACAAAAATATAAAAGCGAATATTTTGTTGTACCCTTTAACCATTTCATTATTTTAATATAGTATCTAACAAAGTCACGGATTAAGACTAATTATAAATAATTAATTAAGCCTAGACTATGTTTAAAAATCAGAACTAAACCTTTTAATACGATATTTTGAATTTCCTTAAATAAAACCCATAAAAGCATAATGTTTAAGTAAGGTCAAGACGAATAGACGCTATATATATACAAATATCTGTACCAAACGGACAGTCGGCAATCTTCTTCGAGCAATAACTGTCATGTTCATTAAAACTAACTAATAAATCATATATTTTATTATCGGCCGAATCAATAGATTTTGATAGCAAGTATTCATTTCGCGGTAGAACAATGATAGGGTAAATTAATAGCAATTGCTACATCGTTGTCGTTCGCACGCTTATAATATTACACAGATACATATTATCAAAGTTTACAAATGCTAATTATATTATTTATTTGACGTTTTAGGTTATTTGGGAAAGTTTTTGATTTACATCTTTTATAAGGTCTTTAATATTAAATTTATAAGACACAATTTAAACACGTAGTGCCTTATCCTTAAAAAAGACGTTAAATTGTTTAATACATAGTTATATAATAAATGAATCACGTATTTATACATTTAAATTTATTTAAAAACAAATGTTTTCTATTTAAATTAACACGATATTGTTATTATCAAATTTAATCTCTTTACCTCGGGACATTAAAGAATAAACAAGAGAAGTAAGCCCAATTATATTATGATGAATATTGTTTGTAGTACAAATTTGTTATTATATTTTCTTTTATATTACTTTTTTACAAGTTAAACTGAACCAATTGTACCAACTGCATGATTTATCGTACCAACAACAATGAAATGCATATAATCAAACTTAAGTTAGATATCACATCACATTAGCTAATATATCTTTAAAACAAAAATGTAGTTTGAACGAAAAAATATTTAAATAAATAATGTTTCATACATAGTCCTCAGTATTGGTGTTAGCTTGAATGAAACCCATGATGCAATGAATTTAAGAGACAGTTCGACAATGAAAATAACATGCTATAAAATAAAAATACTCGTACGTATGACTTCTATGAAGTCGAAACAAAAAATTTTAAAGTTCAAAGCTCGTAATCTATAAATTATTTGAGACTAGCAAAGGCTTTAGTTGTCATAATACGACAAATATATCTTTCCGACCACGGAGCTAGGTCAAGGCTATAATTGGTTCTTAATTCCAACTCCATGGATTTCTATCATAGACTTGGAGACTTCTACCAATATAACTAATGAATGAAAATATTACATTAATATTATATAACGGATTTTTTTAAACGATATTGTCGTTGTGGGAACAACTGACAGTTACTTCAAACATATTTAAAAATAAACGTAGCAAAAATACTTTAAATATTTTGTCGTCAAGTATCCTTATATTTTCCAAATTTCTGCTTATTCAAATTTAAAAAAAGGATGTATGAAAGCTGTAAAACTGTTATTTTGTTATAAATAGAGATAGAGGTATAGAATAATGATAAGTAATTGAGGTAGAATGACAAAAAATAGGTTAATTGTAATATGATACAAAGAACATGATTTCAGGTATTCCTAAAACAAGTACGTAATAACAGCATCAATGATTATATTAGAATTTTTTTATATAATTAAAAAACAACACAACAAAATTGTCACACGTGTCAAATTAAATTAATACTAAACTGTACCACCGATAAATCTACATTAAATTTCGTATGTGATGTTCAATATACAAGCCCTACTAATATAAAAAACCGACATTTACAATAATTGATCTCATACATTATAATGTTTTTATAGTTGGTAGAGCCTAGTTGTTGTCAAATAACTACAGCTCGAACATGGGCTGGCTCGACCGGGGAAGTACCACCCTCTCACAGAAGATCGGCATTAAGTAGCCTTTAATGACTGCGTTTCATCCGATGAGTCAGAGAGCCGGTTGCCCTTTTCCTATTCACACCTTTTGGAGACATTCGATTATCCCCACCCTTCCCTATTCCTAAAAAAAAAGGTTGGCAACGCATCGGCAACATCTCTATTGCGGATGTCCATGGGCGACGGTCACTACTGCTCATCAAGTAGGCCGTCTACTCGTTTGCCACCGTTTCACATTTAAAAAAAAGTATGAATAATAATTTTTAATGAAATTCAGTGTAATTCATGCAAAAACAACGATAACATTATTTAAATTTAAATACAGATATTAAACAAGACGTGGCCTAATGGTTGAAATATATCTTTTTTAAAATATACACAGTTTTGGTCTCGACAAACCAATGTGGACAAAGTCACTGGCAAAGTTTTATTAAAATAAAAATGTAAATTTTCGCTACGACGTGATTGAAGCAAATAATGTACATCTGAAATTGAGGTATTAAGTGTAAATATATTTAAGGTATTTCAAATTTCTAACTAAAAATAATTCATAAAATATGTACTAATGGTCTTGAAAAAGTCTGTAACTGAAACCCGTAGAAATATTTTTTGTATAATAGTTTACATAACAATCGCATAAGTCGGAACTAATGGTAATGTTTATAAAATCTTATCTATTGTAACATCTGCTGTTCAATATAATGAATCTATTAACTGACAGTCTATTAATGCATGTGCGAAGTTTTCTCGGAACTACATAAACGTTATTAAGAATGAAGTAATAAATTACTTAAACAACAAAATGGCAATAACTGGAATGTCACGTACATAAGGTTAATAATCTTAACCTCGATTCTCACATCGATACTAGCTAATAGAACATCTGGATTATATTTAAATAAATGTATGATACATTTTTCTTGTATGTTTAATATTATTTTACCTCATCATACATAAGAAGAGTTTCCCGTTTCTCATTCAGTAAGCTAAGCTAATACTGTAACGTGAGTGATTTATGGATGAAAAACTGGTAAACTTCTGTATTTAGAGTGACGATGTCAACTTAGATTAAAGTTTAATTTAATTAACAGAAGTTTTGGCGTTTGTCGCAAAATATAAAAGAAAAAGTGATAAAATTGCGTACAGGCGATGGAAATAAATTATGTTAAAAAAATGCACTTCATTAAAATGTATAATTCATATATGATACAAAAATTTTATATCGTACCATATAAGCAAAAAATTATGGTATAATTCTGTAGTCAAGAAAATTGCCCCCTACATTGAAACAAAGTCTAACAGTAATTGATAGATAAAAGCAGGTAATGCTCTTTCTTTAACAAGAAATAGGTAAGAATACGTAACAAGATACAAGAGTACATAAGTATATTTTGTTTTAAAAATATATATTTTCGTATATTTAAATTTTGGATTTCAACTTTTTTTATGTCACCATATTGTTTTGATATTTAGTCTATACATATTTCTTATATAAGATTTTATGTCACAAAATTGTTTGATATAAATTATTCTAATAGCAAAAGTCTTAATATATGTATCCCAGCAACTAAGCTGAAACTAAATTCTCTTATTCAAAAATTGCTATTAAACATGAAATACTTGATAGTTATTACGTTCAAGTTAACTGTGGGAACAAGAAGCACTTCATACATTGAGATCGTAAGCTTGATAGTGGGCAAGGTCTTAACTTCGGATTACAAGCCTTTATATGAAAAGGAAATGAAGATTAATATGAGATGAGACGGAAGATAATGAACTGAATATATATTAACATAAAAATTAATTTTACTATTCATTATGCAACCTGTTTCGCAGAGAATTGCAAGAAGGTCTAATAAGTTTTGTTATATTATCATATTATAAAGTTTGTTATTATTTTGATGTTATTTTCTATATGAAGACTTTAAAATGAAAATACTTTCTTTCATGTGTGTTTTTGAAAGACACTTTTATGTGAGTTATCAATGTTCGAACAAAAATCACTCAGAATAAAATACTTCAAGAAAAGGAACCTATGTAAATATTTATTTATTTTATTTAATAAACTCGTATAAAGTTTTATATTGAAAATAGCTCACTTCAAATATTTTATAGGTAATATAAACCGATATTGTAGAATAATGCAGTACAGAAACATCAATGATGAACATAATAGCTTTAACAGTTCAGTTGCGAGGAGTTTGACATTTCTATTTCCGGTCCGTAAACTGTAACAATTTCCTCTGACACGTTTTGAAACTAACATTCTCCTGACACGTTCCTACTTTGATCTCAATATTCTCCAATGATTTTAAGGATTTAAATTCATTTTGCTTCAGTATACTCTTAGAGGGTAAATTAGTGAGAAAATATTAAGTCCAAATTATGCTCAATTAGAAAAATTAATTAAGTGTAGGACATCGCCCGTAAATATTTTAAATATAAAATTTGGAATTTGTTTTCTATCCACATATCATCCCGGCATACTTTATCCATCTACCTATTAATTCTCGATCCTTATAAAAATAAAGTTATAGGCATTTCCAAGTTATATTTAGGTATGATAATAATATTAAAAACTAAACATATTTTCGTAGATTCCACCGATCACTATTTCACCCAAAACTGGATTTTACTAAATAAAATTAAGTTAAACAATCGTTAACTAATAAATTACATTACCTTACAAGTCCCTTGTACACATATAGCTCTGTACCCCGGCTTCGTACATGGTGTACCGTCTCGAACTAGGGAGAGCGATGCATAGAACTGTTGTCCAGCGGGGCGACAGTTTAAAATACAGGGTGAATCACCTGAGTTGATGGAAATATAGCAATGTAATAAAATATTTGAAATATCTATTAAAATTAACTAAGAAAAATCTCACCATCGATGTATGGAATCCAAGTGTAAAATCTTCCTCGAAATGGTCTCTTGTCATAACTAGAACATTGAGCTGCCCGCATATCTTTATCTTCTCCTGGACACGGCTACGTTCAATAAAATCATTAAAAACATACTAAAATAATAAAACAATATTTATTTTATTAACTATATAAGGTGTGTGAGAACATTAAAGAAAATTATTACCATGACTTATAGATGTACGACGAGGAACGTATCAAAGTTTACATTAAGAAACTAGAAATGATTTATTTAACAGCTAATACCAAGTTTATTGACCATAACTAAGAACCGAACAATACTAATCAAGGAAACATTTACGCTCGAACAGATTTCATAAATTTATAGCCAATTAGTTCTCAATACTAACTCAATCAAAATCAATACTTTGATCAGTCCACTTATATTTTAAGTTGTACGCATTTTAAAGCAATTTAATGCCTCTGGATATTTTGTGATTTACATATCACCTCTCTAATATATTTGAATATTAATTTTAGATTCCAGTTTTGTTGTTATTATTTTAAGTAGGATATTTGATTATTTCCATTATAAAATACTTTGTTATTAAAACAAAAGCAACTTTATAATAAAGTCTCTAGTGTTATAACTTAAAAACAAAAGCTAAAAATAAGGTAAGAATTAATATTTGTTGGAAAAATTTAAATAAAATATATTAACAGTACGCGTAATATTGAGATCTAAGCCATTTGCGAGTATTTATGTATGTATGAGAACATATTCATCTCGTCTACCCGTGATCGCGGTTGCTGCAAAGTTACCGAAATTTCGGAAGTGTGTAGTTTAAAATAAAAAAAACGCGTAGTAAATCCGAAAGTATTAGTTTTATTCAACAATCTTATTGAAATATAGTGTAATTGTTATTGCTTTTTTAATATGTTATAAAATTTTTACCATTGTGTTGCATTCATGATATCTTCTAGACGGTCCGAGACAGTCCTGCACATGTCTCGCAACTCGTGTGATTGAATCAGTTTCAGAGTTATTTGTTGGTAAACTCGATCTGAAACAAATGTATATATATGTGGTTCCCGAATGCTAAATAAAATTATTATTTGTAAAAATAAACTATTATAATACGCCTCTTTCATGATTTTCATATAATAATTTAATAATTTAAAAAAATATTTAGTCCAAGATTGATATTAAAATTTAAATATCAAAAAATCATACATAAAAAATGTTGATATTCATAATATATTTTTATCACTTTCAAATTGTTTCTTCCGTAAACTAAAACGTTATTCCTCTAAAATAATCTCCATACACAGTATCCCAGTAACTATTCTCAACGTGATCTATAAATCAAAAAAGTGATATCAAATAAATCTCACCTTAATTATAGGTACTAACTTTACTAAGGCCAAACGCTGAGCGGCAACTCACAAAGTCCTGCCAGATTTAACGACGCTTACAAATCACTACACCAGTTAATCCAATTGTTGATAACAGATTTGATTACGGTCGTGTTACAACTAATATCATTAAAAATATTGATTGAATTTATTTTCATATACTATTGGAACTGATAAATAAATTATTAGCTATGGAATAACTTACGCTGTTATAACTAATTCATTCTTTGGTAATTAAACCCTGTCTTTGATGTATAAACATTACTTAAGCGGGTATGGTATTTTAAATATTTTACTAGTGACAAATATAGCTTTTTTGATATAATTGTTAATATATAGAACAAATAATTGGTTTTATTTTCGTAAAGTTTGAGAACTAACTCATAAGAATATTATAGAAATTATTAATTATTATAAAACAAAATTCATTTATTTTCCCTCATTAACACCATTTTGTATTGTTGATATTTTTGCAATATACATATTTACGAACAGTTAAAATTATTTCAAACATTAGAGTTTTTAAGTAAAATTAAAATAAATAATACAATAAGTAGAATAAATAAAAGATACATAATAATATAATTAATCTATACAAGACAGAATTCAAACCAGTGATTCGTTTTTTATTTAAAATCAATACTCAATTACTATAAGAAATATTGCCAAGACTACCACCGTCTTCATTAAATATCCGTTGGATATAGATCCGTATATAGAGATAATGATTCAAATCTCTGTATCTCGTCTAGCTTCTTCATATATCATTCTGCTATTACGCGCTCCATGAAAAGTGCCTCCCGTCGGTATGGGGGCATGACAAATGACGGTAACTCTAATTTGTCCGGCCTGGCTATCAGCAGTATGGTGTTTAATGATGGAATTTATACCTTGAGGTGATCTGCATAATTTATATGAGATAATTAATTGGAAGCAAACGCTATATCACGGAGATGACAACAAATGAATAAGTAGTTTAACATCCAAAAAAAAAACAACCAAAAATAAAACCTTCTTTAAATTTTAAATGTTTTTTTTTACAAAGCTGCCAGATTCCACGTTTATTTAAACACATCTCTTAGTCTAAAAAGTAATATCTGTTTTATCTTTAATACTGATTAGTATATTATAATAAATTATTATTAAAATTTGTACTCTATGTAGACGTGTCAAGATATATTATCGCTCTGAATTCGTACCCTTAATTAATTAAGACTGACATTGTTTTGTCTAATGATTGCCTTATATATCCTTTACCGTTACCATCGATGGAGCATTCATTTCTACTTAAATAGACTCGACTAACAAAATAACAGTAACTTCTGTACAAATCTATATATATTTATAAACATAAAATTAAATGTTGTAGAAATATATTAGCTTGGATAGCAGCAATATTAAAAGGATATAGCGCATTTGTTCAACTAATGTTACAAGTGTTATTTGTGAATAAAAATATCTAAAAACCTGTTCAGATATATCCTGAGAAAGATCTGTTGAGAATAATCGTTCGTTTAATGTTACCTTTTGATTTATTTCTACATATTATTGTTATAGTAAGCTATATATATATATATATATATATATATATATATATATATATATATATATATATATATATATATATATATATATATATGATGAGAGAGATATAACCCATTAGCAATTACATATCTGGAATATATTAGAGTTCTGCTTCTTACTATCTGTATTGACATCTCATCAAGTCTAACAAGATTAAAGGCGTCACAATAACGACGTGTTTGAATCAAGAATTAATAGACCTGTTATCTAGATTTAAAATATTTATTATAATAATCGAAAACTATGTCTCAAATAATATAAGCCCGTCAAAGGGCCTTATTCGATGTTTAAGTATAATTTCAATTATCATAGTGCATAATAAAAATGTTCATATGTATAAGGTTGAAAAGTCTTTGTCATACTCAAACGCTCTTAAACCTTATTCATAATTCATTTGACAAAAAAATTGCATTTTACATCATACAGGAATTAAAATGACAATAATATCCTCAAAATTTACGTCTCTCTACTAAATTTTATGTATATACGCAAAATGTTTTGATTTTATAAGGACTTAATATTCACAACTTTGATATAATATAATATTTAGTCCAAAGAGACATTCAAAATAATTAAATCAGACAAAGTCGTGAGTCACAAGTAGTTTAGTTGATTTCTAAGAAACAGCTAGGATTCTTCAAGCCACCTGGTCAAGTAATATACTATAGATAATATAAACAATTGCAACAAATTGAACACTAATCGAGAGCTCATTAACTTCATGTGTTGTCAATCACTACAAAATCACAACTCGTTATTACCCTCATACATAAACTCAATAAGGCGAAAAACTTAATGCTAATGCAATATCTCGTGTATTACTTAAAGGTAATTTTATTTTATATTATAATATACATTTATACCGCTTAATTTGTGGTAATAAAGTTTCAGATCCATAATATAAAGGGTAAAATATTTAACCCCTCGACCTGTTATTACGTTTTGTGAAATATTATAAACGATTTTTTAATATAAGCACAACATTAAAAGGTTTTATAAGTGGTATTTTACTTAATGGTATGAATTTTTATAAATTTCAGAATTATGCTATTCGATCTTTTACTTTTTATATTTATTTAATCTTCTAATTTATCTTCACTGTTGTTAATTTAACGGCAGTAGAAACGGGTATTATTTGTATAAATTATAACTCAACTACACAAAGCTGCAACGAATCATGCACATATCATGAAATTGGTATACTCAGCAATTAATTTTATAACTAATAATAAGACACAATTAATGGGATTCGATACTTAAACAACATGTTAATAAACTTTTCATAAAGCCACGACATCGCTAAAGAAATAAATTTACTACCTAATAATTTCTTCATAATTGATGGAACAAAAAATCATTTTTACCTAAAATATTATATATATAATTAAAAAGTTTTCGAGTCATAAGTGGAGAAAAGAAAATTATATGATTTCTTTTACTTGACATATGTTTTGGCGGAATTTAGTGGACATAAAAAAATATTGAAAAGTTAACGGATAAGACTAATATTAGAATTGGAAATGTTTTTGAATGTGTGTAAACACAGCCTTATAATGTCAGCACCTTAGAAGCTATCTGTAGATGGTTATCACCATCGAAGGTGTAACCCGTTAAAGAAAATTACCGTAATGGGTATGTAACGCTGTTTACAGATTTTGTTTTGATCCGCCTCAAGCGATTTAACACCGCCTCAACAAGGGAAATTTCATTTTTGTTTTATTGCTATGTGCATACAATATTAAGTGAGCACCAAATGTTATCGACATCTAAATAGCATTACGTAAGTAGTTTTGATAGTTTAACATTTTTTAGGAATAACGGGAATAACACTCTTGAAAGAGTGATTAAACTAGTCAAACAACTCAAGTTTGAGAAGCTTAGCCGGGTTCAATAATAAATATTATCTTGCTCAGGCGAAGGAGTCTCTTACAGAAAATCCAGAGAAAGCTAGATTTAATGTCAAGCTTTATTTCTGCAACAACCCAATCCACCTTTCCTTGGCCCATCTTTACACACTTTTATGCTCTATTTTTTACCATTGTGGTGTTAATATTGTCATTTAGATTTAAATAGGTATATATGTATACCCCAGCTTCTATATATGGACCAGAAACTTATTCAACTATGTTGTAAGATGTCAATAATGTTGTACCAATTTCATATCAACTTATCAGGGGGCTATTGTAAAAGAGACTGAAGAAGAAAGTAAAGTTAATTATCTAATACTTGCTGATCGTTTCACAGCGATAACAGAACTGTAATCTTCTTTAGGACTTGCCAGTTAAGTCAACCAGAAAAGCAGCTGTAAGTTGACTTCTAAGGGGTCATTTACTGACCTGGACAAGCACTGTCTTTTCTGCATCGCAACACCACCTCCACACGTTCGAGAGCATGCACTCCAAGAACTCCAAGCACTCCAAGAATATGATTTCACGTCTTCATTCTGTAATTAGTTTTAACTTAGTTTTATTCAAAAAATGTTAAATTACCAATGATTTTTCGAGTCGATAAATATATATGTAGATCTAATGGTAAAAGTAATTGTATCTTTCTTTTTTAACCTAATGTTATATTTACTTTGGAATATAAACAAATTGACAGAAAATCTAAATAATAATTTTATTAATTATTTTCTTAGATGCATCTAGGTTTCTGTTATATTTAAAAAAAAAATAAAAGCGAAAGACTCACCTGACTAATATCAGTAACGTTTGTCGCTGACGTAAACATTGCAATCTGCACCAGTGGAACTATCCTATGAACAAAGATATGCATACAAAATCAAGTTAACACACTAACCAATCTACAAAATCAACTAAGTTTGACATGAGTAAAGGTCTCAAGGAAATTTCACTTATGTCCAAAACATTTAACCAGAAGTCTTTCTGGTTTTGATTGATATTTTCAAGCGTACATACAAAGTCCTGTTACACCAAAGAACAAACTATCGTTTTAAAACCTACAGACCATGTACAGAATGGCCGTTAAAACTCCATCTAATCGAAGAATTAATTTTAAACCACTGGTTATTAGTTCAGTTTACATGGTCTTAAAAGTAGGACACATTTACAGACCTGTAAATCGTGTTAATTTGTCACATAAAAGCAAATGATCAGTGCCGTTGTAGATTTATTACGAGTAAGATCGTTAGCCATACAACGTACATTGTAGTATAATAATGATATTTAAAATAACAGTTTCTATGACTTTAGTTTAACCGCTGACATAAAATTTTAAATTACTTTATGAATACAACTTACTTTGTATTAAGTTTTAACAATGTATAAGGTATCTTGTTTGATATCAATTAAGCCAAATGGTATGGACTACGACTCAAGAAACGTGATTTCCTTTCAAATTATCTTCTCAGTTAAAACGATCATGTCTATTTATCGAATCTACAAACAATTTGTCAGTCTAACTGGAGGGGCAGGTAATTTACTGCTCACACTGATATCGTAAAGATACTTAACCACTTAGGAGAGTGTACGTACATGCTTCACTTGAGTTTCCTCGTGTACAAAGAAAAAACAACGCTTCAATTATACACTATAGTGTATTCAACTATACGGAGATTCATAATTTGATAAATCTCAAAATAATATAACATGAAAATTAATTCTCTTCATATTTGTTTATTAAACGTAAGTAAATTTTGTTAAATATTTTCATGACTTGATTTAAAAAGAATACTTAATTATATGAAAAATAATCCTATAATATTAGATTAACTGCAAATAATATTTTTTGTTCATATTTTAAAGCCTAACTCTACTCACGCATTCACACAGATATGGTATATTCTTTGCCCAAACTAGGGTTAAGATACTGATGACTCCGTGGGTGAAGTAAGATGGGAATGTTTTACTTTGTCTTTCCAATTTACTTGCTTTCTCGACTGCTTCCTTTAGAGCTTAGATAATCTAGCGTGTGGGTAGTCAACATTAACGTCACATACTTATCGGTAATTTAGTGAAGATTTTTAAATCACCTAAATATTATAAATATAGTTGTTATATTTGGAAAGTATCAAAAAAAGTATTTTTTTTAAATTGTTGAACTCTAAAGGTAACAAAAAAATTCCTTCACAAATAAATTGTTGAGGAAGTTAATAAGATATGACTAGAAATTCAAGAAATTGACGGATATTTAAAAGCACTAAATTTAAAAATTAATATCCATATTAAATAGTGTACATATGTATAATAATAGAAATAAAAATAAATAAAACATTTTGTTCTAACTGCAGGCCCTATTGAAATAACCTAAGCGTTCCCAAGTTGCGCAATCCATACTCCATTGACTGATAATAATTTTAAACGATATATTTTGGACAAGGTTCGGATGCACCCGTTACACATTAAAACCAAACCAACGACTTTGTTCAACAACTAATGAACATCTTAAGTGGTTTATTGAGTGCCGAATGCCGTTATTTTTATGTCACTCGCCCTTGATACAATTTACGCACATTTAGTATTATCTTTATGGACGTTTTGAATTACTTAATGTGATAATATAATGAGTGAGAATGAGTTATCCTTGTTCCCACATACAGACTAATATTAATTTTGTTTTAGATTTGTTTGATAAATTATATAAATATTGATATAATATGTCGAATTTATTCCCAATCAATTCTTTGATAGGTAAAGATTACATATGTGAAACTCCTGTCAATATTACAATAGCGTCTTTGAAAGTTTGTGGAGATTTGTTTCAAATAACATAGAAAATAATTATATACAGTAAGGATTACATTATTTATTTAAGTGGTGTGTTTGTTGGAAATGTAAAGTCCTTAAACAAGCCAGAGGTAATTGGATTTACGCTTTCCTTACCCACTTGGTAAATTTAATACAAGCAATTTTAAGTTTCTAACAAGGAGAGCAATTAAAAACACAACTATGTGAATAAATCCTTTATATCTTTAAATTCTATGTAAAAGTAAATTACGTCTTAAAGGAATTTAATCCTACTATTATCATGAAATCGAAAGTGTTGGTTTAAAAATATATATGGTTTTCTGTTTGATCTTAATGCACTGTAAAATTTCAAAAACTTATGATTCATTTTTCATAATTTTGCTAAAAGAAAGGTTATTTGAGATTTATTAGAATCGAATTGTTAAATAAGACATCATAAAATTTAATAAAATTTTAAAGAAGAAAAGATGTCTCTTTATAAATATTTATTTTTTCTTAAATATCAAGACAGAATTCTTTACATATAATCAGAGATAAATTAAAAATAAATATGTTTAAAATTCGCTAACGTTTAAATATTAAAAAATCATCTTTCCTTTGTTATTGAATCTACAACTTGTCTTTAGCCGCCTTAGATCTGATTAAATACCGTAACAAATATAATAGTTATAATTATTTATATAAATATGAATTCAATCGTTCATTTAGTCCGTTACCGTTACTTTGAACGTACAATACATTCACACGGATGGCTCGCTTCATATTTTTATAATCCTCAAGCACGTGCTGTATGAATGGAAATATAATTTCTGTTTACTTTTACTCTCCAAGGAGTCTCGTTAGAAAAAAGTTTACCGTTCTGAAGCGTAAAAATATTTGTCGAAAGTAAACGGCTGTATTGAAGCACAACGCCTCTACAAACAGATTTATTGTCTATGGATAATAAACAATCATAAAATTTGATTGAATGAAATTGTTTTTGTTAACGTAATATTTTAAACAAGGACGTTTTCTCTTTTGAATTTTATACAATCATTATATTTATTGGTCTTAATTATGTTTTCAAATAATAAGACGTATTTTTAACAGCTAAATTTAGCAATAAAAAATCTATATTACATTATATAAAAATTGCTCATATAATTTGAATATTTTTTTTATTAATGCATCTGTTATTCTGGGAGATAAATTAACCTATTTCTGCCTCAGAACACAGGGATTGGGACAAAAAAAAACCGGGGCAAAAACTAGTACCCAATTGATAAAACATTATCCAGGCAAAAGTACTGTTTCTATTTATGAGTACCCTCATGTTATTGCATCGTAAATTCACCGTAACTTAAAATTACATACAATATTACTCATAAACAATAACTCTCACTTTTCCCTACACCACTTGAAACTTTTCAATGTGTTCACCACCGAATAAATTAAAGGTATTTAAAGCCTACATAGCCTACATAGCCTAATAGAGTTCTAATTATTCATTTATTTAGACGTAAATAATATGAATTCCATACCATAAAAAAGCTTTCCTCCAATCAATATATCTCCTCCTATCCATTTTCCTGCACTTTATAAGTCCTTTAAACCGTACATTATTTATATATGTCCATTCTATATTTCAATGCTTCTATTTTATGTATTTATTAATTGATTTGTTTCAAAACAAATGAGTTCAATCATTTCTACGATCATTCACGTCACTTCGCACTTGATGACATCAAATGCTCCAGTTTTTATGTCAGCTACAATCTGAAACAATTTTAAATAATTAATACTTACATGTATTTCTGTCATGTTTTTATCATAATATCTTAATGGGTAAGTGTAATAATTGATTATGATTTGTATGCTTTGTGTGAATTGAATTTATTAGTATAAAATTTTGTATGAATTGCGATAAATGAGATTAACCTTAGATGAAAGTGATCAAAGAAAAATGATCATTTCAATATCAAATTTGAGCATTATATTAAATATATACATATGTATATATTAATCGTTTGAACTACACGATAATTTGCCTAAATATACCTATATTTTAAACTTGTATATATTACCAGGTTCTCGTATTAACTGAACAGAAAATAAAACTTAAAGTTACAGTTGTATTTATCAAGAATAACAAAGGTCAATTAATGGCATTTATTTAGAACATTATAAGACATTATATTCTCCTACCTATCTTTCTTTTTAATATATTCACACTAAAAGAATATGTAAACGTTTCGCTCATCCCATACCGCATATAACATTGAGTAAGGACTTTCATATAGTAAGTCAATTCTCGTGTTTCAAACATTATCACTATGCAATGTAAATATTACGAAACCTTTCCGACACGCATCACCGCTGTTCTGGATACGTTATCTGATAGCACGATAACAATACAGACATACAGAATATATAACAAATATATGTATAGAAATATTTAAAATTATATATATAAATGTATAAAATATTATAATATACATATAATTGATTATACAACAGTGTATTGTATTATAATAAAAAAAATACTAACAACGGATTTGGTTACTCAATATTTTTATCTTGATTTAACTAATATTCTCACCAATATTTCATCAATATTTTTCTATATATTTTGTAAATTTTAAATAAAATTTGATCGACAAACATATAGTGATATTATATTAAAAGTTTATTATTTATCGTGTATATGAAATGAGTTTTATAAGATTAATAAAGTCACATACACAATATCACATCTTCGTCAAAAAATGAAAAAACTGGGACTCGAATTTTCATATTTAAACATATTTTTATACGTACCAAAATTATATATTTTTATAGTAAAATTAATATGTATATTACGTGAGTATTATCTATAAAATTAATAGATAAATGACGTACCTGGATAGCACTATGTATGTCGTATGTTTCTAAAACATTCTTCTTCCAAAGGTACACCGTATGGGGTACTGTGTTGTTATGGTGCCTTTAGACGACTGAACTGGACATCGTTCGCTCCCATGATTTCAGTGGATTACTATAGAAAAA